AATGAGAGCTCTCTATAGAGAGTAGCAGGGAACAGAAGCCAGAAGGTAATTTGCTTACAGTGGGCCTCCACTCCTATGTACTTAATATACGACGCTGTCTTTGACTACCGGGGGCCTCCTGCCCACAGAGGGCCTCTTATCTACAGAGGGCTTCCTCTCTACAGATTGCCTCTTATCTACAGAGGGCCTCCTCTCTGCTGAGGGTGTCTTTCTCTCCAGAGGGCCTCCTCTCTAGTCTCTACAGGGACCTCCTCTCTACAGAGGGCTTCCTATCTATGTAGGGCCTCCTCTCTTCAGAGTCTCTTCTCTACACAGGACCTCCCCTATACAGAGGACCTCATCTGATCATCTCTGCAAAGGGCCTCCTCTCTTCAGAGGGCCTCCTACCTACAGAGGACCTCCTTTCTACTGAGGGACTCCTTCTCTACAGAGGGCCTCCTCTCTTCAGACGATCTCCTCCCTACAGAGGGCCTCCTCTCTTCAAAGGGCCTTCTGATTTCAGACTGTTTCCTCTTTACAGAGGGCCTGCTCTCTACAGAGGGCCTCCTTTTTACAGAGGGCCTCCTTTTTACAGAGGGCCTCCTTTTTACAGAGGGCCTCTTTTTTACAGAGGGCCTCCTTTTTGCAGAGGGTCTCCTCTCTACAGGGGGTCTCCTCTCTAAAGGGGCCTCCTCTCTAGGGAGTCCTCCTCTACAGAGGGCCTCCTCTCTTCAGACGATCTCCTCTCTCTTTTTTACAGAGGGCCCCTTTTTTTACAAAGGGCTCCTTTTTGCAGAGGGCCTCCTCTCTACAGGGGGTCTCCTCTCTAAGGGGGCCTCCTCTCTAGGGAGTCCTCCTTTACAGAGGGCCTCCTCTCTTCAGATGATCTCCTCTCTACAGAGGGCCTCCTCTTTTCAAAGGGCCTTCTGATTTCAGACGGTTTCCTCTTTACAGAGGGCCTGCTCTCTACAGAGGGCCTCCTTTTTACAGAGAGCCTCTTTTACATAGGGCCTCTTTTTTACAGAGGGCCTCTTTTTTACAGAGGGCCTCCTTTTTGCAGAGGGCCTCCTCTCTTCAGGGGGTCTCCTCTCTAAGGGGGCCTCCTCTCTAGGGAGGCCCTCTCTGAATCCAACTGGGCCTTCGACCCACGTTGGATTCAGGCCGAAAGGATTCAGGCCAACGTGGGCCTTCGGCCCACGTTGGCCTGAATCCTTTTGGGGGGGGGGGCCTCCTGAAAACCCCAAGGGAGGGGCGGGCGCCCCCTCCGCCCCTCCCCTCTTGGCTACGTCCCTGAGCCAGGGTATATGTTTGAGCGGCTAGGCCCCCTGACCAGGATCCGCGACCGCTGCACTGCTCGGCAGCCGCCCCGCACGCCACACTACCACAGCCGAGAGGCGCCTGCGAGGTATACTGTGCCGCTTAACCCGGCTGCTGTGCGGCGCAGCATGCGCTTCCCGATACAGAGCACGCTACAGCCGATTCTAATGAGACACGGGCATCACACGTTTATGATGTTCCCTTAGCTGTAAGTTATCGGTGATTGATCACGACTGGGGTCAATTATCACCTTATACGCAGGTTAGTGAAGAGCAGTTACTTTCCGCATTCAGCCCAAGTCACTAGTGAGGAATCATGGCGAATCGAGATTTAAATCGAGTGCAGAGGCCAGTTTTACCAACAGAAAAATAGTCGCCTGCAGGTATTTTTTGCCTAAAGACCGTTTCACATACGGAGTGTAAATGCGCTTGGCACGTAAGCGGATAGGGCTTTACCGTTTACGCTCCGTATGTGAAGCGGTCTTTACGTGTAGGCAAAAAATTCCAGCAGGCGGCTATTTTTCTGTTGGTAAAACTGGCCTCAGGTCTGAAATCCGTAACCGGGCTTCCAGCAGGTTCGTTGTTACAAAGTTCGTTCCTGCCTCATTCCCCCACTTCCTCCGTAATCATTTTGTATCTCTCCCCTTACTATCGATATCCTTATTTGGGACACTCCTCGTCTATGGCGTACGTCACGGCACCATTCCGATTGGCGTTATGATGGCGGACCGAGCCTATATCCTATGACCTATGACTTACCTTATCGCTATGAACTAAAAATTCAAAGCTCAATAATTTCATTAATGTGACGGGCCGACCTTAGACTTCGTGGTTCTCAAAATCAAGACGTTGCGCTCTATCAGATGACCTAGTTTGATTTGAATGAAAATTGGTGGAGACTCGCCAGCTTCCGGATCTTAGATTTCCGGTTGTCGGATTAGGATTCGCTGTTAGGTATCTAGCTTGACGATCGCAAATATTCGTACGCTTCACAGACCACAGTGCCTTATATGAGTCCAAACCGTTTCAATGTCACATGTTTATTACGGTTTAACCCTATTCCTGGCGGGCTCCGCCGGGACAAGAAACTGGCGGGGGGGGGGGGGGCCGATTCGGCCCCCCCCCTGAGATCTCGAGAACGAAGCAAGATAGCGACAAGCGGTAAACGGCATCGGATACGCACGGCCAAGATCTACAATTTTTACTAAGGTCATTTTCAGGTCAGGTCAAAGATGACGTCACAGGGGTCGAAAAAGTCAAAATGGCGGCGCTAGATATGGAGAGAGTTTTTCTCGAATAACTTTCGAGTTAGTCAAGATAGGAACAAACTAAGGGCATCATCGTGATCCTCTCGTCAATCCGCATCGAATGATATATATGTTGACCTCGAAAGGTCAAGGTCAAAGGTTAACCTCAGGTCACGTGACCTCGAGGTCATCATGTATATCATTCGATGCGTCTTGACGAGCTGAACACAAAGAGACCATCCACGCGTCTGTATCTTGTTCCTGTACGGAGTTATTGGCCAAAAACCTTTGGTGACCTTTGATGACGTCACATGACCTCACAGCTGCCCAACAGCAAAACAGACCTCAAGGTAGTGAAGGTTGATCGTATATGAAGTCATGTATGGTATATGGGGCCATTCCGACCCGTTTTAGTGGTAAAAACAGGGAGTTGATTTTTCCCCCATTGACTTATAATGGGGAGGTCGCGAAATTGACCTGACCTTAGGTCACCGATATCAAAATTCCGAGATATACAAATTGCACATACTGGTACCCTAACTAAACCCTGAAGAGAAGAAATTGATCGGTCAAAAACTCTAGCTCTGGCGTGATTGCAAACTTTTCTGAGGTAGGGTCACCAAACCGCCTCTGGTGACCTGACCTGAGGTCAGATCAACTCAAAATTTTCAGACATGTTGCGTAGAAGCCTTTTAGGAAAAGTCAGAAAATTTGAGCTTCCTAGCTCAACGCGTTTGGGAGAAATAACCAAAAAACCTCAGGGGGGGGGGGCTCCTGAAGCTGTGGCGGCCGAGACAAATAGATAAAATATGATAAAATTATATTGAGAGATGAAAATAAAGAACATGGCAGTTTGAAAGTAGGCCGCACACTCTGAACTAAAAACAATTTCTAACATCGACGTTGACTCGGTTTTCTGAGCAAAAAAAAAAAAAACTATTGTTTTTCACGAGCGCAGCAACAATAAAAGAAAATAAACATGAATCAAATAAGGCGTGATAAAATAGGAACAAAGACCTCTAATAAAAGGAAGTACGAAATCGCCACAACACTCCCCGCCCCAGAGCGGAGCTAGAAAATAAGGTATAGTAAATTGCTTAACAAAATCGATCACAAATTGTCAGCCAGAATGGGCGCAGACCAGCTCTTATTAATGGCGGCACAGCGCCTGCCGCGTCGGACGGGAGCGGCGATAAAACGGCGCAGCCCGGAAACTCCGGCGACGGCGACTTGCGACTCGCTGACTTGTGTTCTGCGTTTCGCGGCGACGTATGGGTTCATGTCGTTGACGAACGCTTGGGTATGTAGGTAGGTAGGTACGAAGATAAGAAGCACCGCGGTGGAGCAGGCGGCGTGGCTCAGCGCGGCCTGGATCCACCTTGGTTAGGCCACAAGTCAGCGGAGCCGCTCTTGGGAGAAGCGAGCTTGAGGTCGGTGCGTTGGTATCAGCCGGTGCGGAGGGAGGCGGCGCGGCATGGGTGCGGCGCGGCCCGAAACCACCGGCGATTCTTCAGGTGATCGTTTGATAATGGTTCGTGTTGCATGAGAAAATATCGTATTTCGCTTTCGTTTCGATGATTGGCATTTCCTCGTTCTTATTCTTGATGTCGCGTCCAAGGACAGACGTCGACATTGAATAGATAAATAAAATCTTGAAGATCAATAATTTACTGTTTAAAAGTTAAATTCATATCACGTCGGGGTCACCAATGTGGCGGCCGAGACAAATAGATAAAATATGATAAAATTATATTGAGAGATGAAAATAAAGAACATGGCAGTTTGAAAGTAGGCCGCACACTCTGAACTAAAAACAATTTCTAACATCGACGTTGACTCGGTTTTCTGAGCAAAAAAAAAAAAAAAACTATTGTTTTTCACGAGCGCAGCAACAATAAAAGAAAATAAACATGAATCAAATAAGGCGTGATAAAATAGGAACAAAGACCTCTAATAAAAGGAAGTACGAAATCGCCACAAAGCCCCCCCCCCCCCAACGCCAGGAATAGGGTTAAGAATTACAACAGGAACGTTGCTTGTTAGCCACCTACGAAAAATGAACGTCTAAGACACATTATTTTGAAATATAAAATGTTTAAAAATCTTTCTCAAATCAAAATTCACAGATGTTACGCTGAAGGTTCATTATGCCTTATTCTAAGGCTCAGCCCTGTAATTTAAGTCTACTCCTGAAAACCGTTCTCAGCAGCTGATAGAGAAGAGAGAGAGAGAGAGAGAGAGAGAGAGAGAGAGAGAGAGAGAGAGAGAGAGAGAGAGAGAGAGAGAGAGAGAGAGAGAGAGAGAGAGAGAGAGAGAGAGAGAGAGAGAGAGAGAGAGAGAGAGAGAGAGAGAGAGATGCAGGCACCTCAACTATCGCGCTGTTGAGGCGCCGCGTATTGCAGTATCGGACCGCCCTGCTATAAACGTAATTCTGTGCTGCTATAGACGCGATATAGTTAGTGCGATTTTGTACTGTTATAAGCGCGGTGCTGCGCTAGGCAGTGAGTGCCGGCCGGCCGGGCGGTGCCCCGCTCTGAGCGGCCCTGGGCCGGCCAGCCGGGCGGTGGCCCGCTCTGAGCGGCCTCACGGTCGGTCCATCTCGTCCCCGGACATGTAGCCGGCGTCCTCCTGGTGCTCGGCCGGCGCCAGCAGCGGGTCCTCCTCGTCCGGCGGGTCGAACAGCGGGTCGTCCTCCGGGTACTGCTCCTCCTCCTGGGAGTCCTCGGCGTCCTCCGGGGCCGGCGTCGGCCGCGTCATGGCCAGCAGCAGGTCGCGCACCGGCTCCGGGGGGCCGCCGCCGGAGACCGCCGCCGGCTCCTCGTCCTCCAGCTCGGCCAGGTCCGGCTCCTCCTCGCCGACGCTGTTGGCGCCGTCCTCCTCGAAGGCCGGCTGGCGCGCGGCGGCCGGCTGGTCCGGGCGCCGCTCGCCCTCCGGGTCGTCCTGCTCGCCGTCCGGGTCCGCCTCCGGGTGGCTGCCGCCGCCGGAGGGCCGCCGCTGGTCGGCACCGCCGCCGGTGACCAGCGAGTACAGCACGGTGGCGTCCTCGTCCTCGTCCTCCTCCTCGGCGGCCGGCTCCGGGAGCTCGGCGGCCGCCTCGTCCTCGGTGTCCTCCGGCTCCGGCTCCTCCTCCTCCTCCTCCGGCTCGGCCGCCTCCTCGTGCTCCTCCTCGTCGTCCGCGTCCTCGCCGCTCAGCTCCAGCTCCTCGCCGCTCAGCTCCAGGTCCTCGCCGCTCAGCTGCACCTCCAGCTCCTCGCCGCTCAGCTCCAGGTCCTCGCCGCTCAGCTCCAGCTCCTCGCCGCTCGGCTGCACCTCCAGCTCCTCGCCGCTCAGCTCCAGCTCCAGCTCCTCGTCTGCGTCCTCGGGCTCCTCACTCAGGTCTTCCGTCTCTCCGGCGACCGCGTCCATCGCCTCTTCCCCGTCTTCTTCGGCATCCTCCAGCTCCAGCGCCGGCTCCTCAGCCTCTTCAGCATCGTCTGTTGCGCCGTCAGCATCCTCTAGCTCCTCGCCGTCCTCCTCTAGATCCTGGATTTCCGCCCCAGCGCCATCGTCATTCCCCTCGGCGGCCCCCTCCATGTCCTCCGGGGCGATCCCAGCCGGCCGGGCCCGCGCCGGCCCGTCCGCGCCGTCCGAGGGCCGGTCCGGCGTGCCGGCGCTGAGCTCCAGCTCGGCGCCGGCCAGCAGCCCGGCCGCCTCCTCCGCGGCGCGCGCGCCGGCGCCCTCAGCAGGGGCGGCCAGCAGCCGGAGCAGCTGCAGACGCTCCTCCGCCGCCTCCTCCCGCTCGATGTACCTGCCGCAGACCCCGGCTCAGACGAGCACACACAGACACAGGCTCTGACTCAGATGTACACACACACACGCAGACATGGACATCTGCCTCAGACCCTGACTAAGACGTATGTACACACACAGACTTCTGCCGCACACCCTAACTCAGACGTGTGTATCACACAAACACAGGCTTTTGCCGCAGACTCTAGCGTTAGACTCATGGTGAGCATCCAACATACAAATACAAACACAGGCCAGATAAGGCTTGCCGGACTGTCAGCTGGAACACGGCGGACCGCGACTCTGAGTACTGGTGAAGGGTTAAAAATTAGCCGTTTTTACGACGGACTATCTGGCGAATGCACCAAACTTGTCCAAATCTAATAAAGTATCTTCTACAACAAATATCTTCACATCATAAATTCATTTAAATGTTTTGATCGAATATTAGAAATAATTCCTGAATCCTGATAACTTAATAAATCGGGCACATAAGCAACTAGTGCAGCCATAGCTGAAAACTGTTTAGAATTACCTAACCATGAGCCAAATTTGACCAAATCGCACCAAATATGACTAGATGAGTCCTAAGATAACTGTCGTAAAGAAACGACTTTAGTTTTATTCTCCTTAGTTTGGTGCGCTGGTGCGACCTGCCCTCGGTATCCCACCCCTGGGCGCGCCGCTGGTGTCCCTGCCCCCGGTATGGCCACCCCTGGGTGCGCCTCTGGGGCGACCTGTGGCACCGACTGACCTGCTGTTGCGGCACGCCAGGCAGCGGCAGACACCGAGCCGTTTGACCAGGTAGAGGGTGGCGCCGTCCCGCACACAGTACGAATCCAGGGGCCGCCGCAGCGACTGCCGACAGCACAGCGCGTCACACGGAGCCCGGCGACAGCCATACGGGGCCCGGCGACTGCCGACGGCACAGCGCGTCACACGGGGCCCGGCGACTGCCATAAGGGGCCCGGCGACTGCCGACCCGACAACACAGCGCGTCACACGGGGCCCGGCGACTGCCGACAACACAACGCGTCACACGGGGCCCGGCGACTGCCGACAGCACTGCGCGCCACACGGGGCCAAGCGACTGTCAGCGACTCAGAGCAGGGTTTCTAGCTACAAGCAGCTTAAAATGCGCTTAATAAGCAGCTTAAAATATTATCTGGGAGCAGTAAATCACGACTTTGCCATTCAAAAAATAAATAAATAAATAAATAAATAAATAAATAAATAAATAAATAAATAAATAAATAAATAAATAAATAAATAAATAATTAAATTAGTAGGTAGATAAATAAAATCTGCCATTCCATTCATGTTTCTAGGGAATTTCACTTGAGGCAACTCAATAGCTAGAACTTAGGATTTTCATTTAACGTGTGATTAAATGTCTATTGCTGCGCTGTTTGCCTGGTTGATGCCGGTGGCGGGCCGTCCAGTTCACGGCGTCCTGGGCAGGTGACCAACCTTCAGCTGGCGGCCCTTGAAGTAGACGAGCTGCTGGCGGGCCGGAATGCCCGTGCGCGCCGTGATCTGGCGCTTGACGTCTCTCAGCGTGTCCACCTCCTCCAGCAGCATCTTGGTCCGCGACGGGGTCAGCACGGTGACCCTCATGTCGCCGCCACGGCCGTCACCCGCGGCGCATCACCGGCCGCCGTCCTCCCCAGGAAGTATAGCGACGACACGTCATAACTTCACCACGTTACCTACACCGCACCTATAAGGCAGTCTGGTATGATTCTCACAGTTGTCGGTGTGATGAACTGAACTATTTGTCACCTAGAGGTACTTGCCAGCGGCGAAAGAAATTCGAAGATGTCGACGTTTGCATACGACCGAGTCTTGGCCTCCGAAATTAAAGTGGCTGGAGCCCTGAACACGGCTGGCTGAAGTTGGAAGCTCTGTCCAGATCGACCTTTGGCTACTTGCAAGTAACAATTTGAAGAGCGGTAAAACGAGCTGCGTTTGATTTAGGTTATGACTCCGGAATTTCAGTCGTGAAAATTTGCCTTTGCACAGAATGTGTATTTATATGTTGAATACCTATTTCCAATGATATTTCACATCCATCCTTGATAACGCTTGATAACGAACTGGATATCGAATCTTGATTTTATACTTGCTCCGAACGTGCAAATCATTTGAACCTCCAACCAGAAATATCACTGCTGATTGCAGCCGATAAGCTCTGCCGGCAATCACACGGCGGTCTGAGGCAGGGGGTTGATTCGAGTTCGTGACGCTCCGACTCGGTCCAATATGTAGTAGCTCGTGGGCTGCCGGCGGCGGCGGGGGCGGGGGCGGGGGCACCGGCCGCCACCGCGCCGTCCAGCCGGTGTGGGCGGCCGGCTCCTGCAGCAGCGGGCTGCGGACTCTCCGCCAGGCAGGTGCAGCGGCACCCTGCAGCAGACTCCCGTACTTAGGCATAGTTAATTTAATACCGCACAGCCCCGTACCAGCCCCGTACCTTGACCTGACCTTGATATCCACAATAATGCATGGAACCAACACCATTTCAGAAATTCGAGCATTTGGAATCACAAAAAGACTCGAAATGCGTGGATAATGTGAGCCGACATAGCCAAATCGCGATTCAGGCCAAACATGGTATCATCGAGAAACAGATGTTGATCAAGAAAGCCCATATTCAGCCCAGATTCAGCCCGGATTCAGCCCAGATTCGGGACACCTCCGATCAAGCTGAAACTCGCACACAATGTAGGCCATGACATGCTAAATCTACAGTCCGAGTCATCATACGGCGGCACTCCCAGCCGTTTGACCTACAGAGGTCAGCAAAGGTCACGTGGCCAAAATTTGCACAGCAGATTGTGGCCCACCCAGTAGAGCTAGAGCGCTAAAAATGGCACCAATCGACTCGCCAGCATCCATCTAATCTTACATAAGCGGTTAATAAGCGGTTTTTAAGGAAAGTTACTACGGCCTATGCTTTGATTTGGAATTCGGTCAATTCCTCTACTCGAAAACTGCTGTGCAAGTGTATTTTCGACATAGCTCACAAATGACCTTAGGTCATCGCATGACCTTGAGAGGTCAAATGAGTGCTGGGAAAGGAAGATTAGATGCTGGCGAGTCGATTGGTGCCATTTTTAGCGCTCTAGCTCTACTGGGTGAGCCACAATCTGCTGTGCAAATTTCGGCCACGTGACCTTTGCTGATCTCTGTAGGTCAAACGGCTGGGAGTGCCGCCGAATGACTCGGACTGTGGATTGGGCATGTCACGACCTACATAGTGTGCGAGTTTCAGCTTGATCGGAGATGTCCCGAATCTGGGCTGAATCCGGGCTGCGACGTATGGAGTGTCGTTTATTTGTTACATTTTGCCCTGCCGAGGTCAAACGGGGTCACATATCGAGAAGCGGTTTTTAAGGAAAGTTACTACGGCCTACGGCTTAAGTTACTACGATGATGTGCTTTGATTTGGAATTCGGTCAATTCCTCTACTCGGAAACTGCTGTGCAAGTGTATTTTCGACATAGCCCACAAATGACCTTAGGTCATTGCATGACCTTGAGAGGTCAAATGAGTGTTGGGAAAGTAAGATTAGATGCTAGCGAATCGATTGGTGCCATTTTTAGCGCTCTAGCTCTACTGGGTGGGCCACAATCTGCTGTGCAAATTTGGGCCACGTGACCTTTGCTGACCTCTGTAGGTCAAACGGCTGGGAATGCCGCCGAAAGACTTGGACTGTGGATTGGGCATGTCATGGCCTACATTGTGTGCGATTTTCAGCTTGATCGGAGGTGTCCCGAATTTGTGCTGAATCCGGACTGAATCTGGGCTGAATATGGGCTGTCTTGAGTCTTGACGGACATGAGAAACAGGACTCACAGGTCAAAGGTCATTTGGGTGAAGGTCATGGAACTTTCAGAGTAGGTGTAAAAACGATTCACTGAAGGACACTGAAAGTTTCGTAGCGATCGGCCGTTTTTGCGCGAGTTATTCGCGAAAAACAGTGTGTGTGTGTGGGGGGGGGGGAGGGTCGTTCGACCCCCCCCCCATCAGTGCGAAGGATTATGAAGATGGCGCAAATTGACCTGACCTTAGCTAACCGATGTCAGAATTGCGAGATACGCATTTCATGCGTAGTGTCACCCTTATATTTCACTAAAATTTTCAAAGTAATTGTTAAGACGGTGTAGCCATGGCGAGCATTCTTTTTTTCAGAGGTAAGGTCACTTACTGTGACCTGACCTTGGGAGATCCGGTTCTGACATTTTCAAATGTGCAGAAAAAAGTGCATGAGCATTGAGCAGCTGTGCCGCAAATGACGGTGCGGCGGTCACCACTATCTGCGAAGAACCGGAGGGGGCTGTTTCAAAATCCCCGGATCGGCACGGGTTAATAATAACGGTATAACGGCGCGGATTACGTCCTGTCAACATCATCAATCGCCGAGTTTCCTGTTAATCGTACGAGCGGTTTAGCTATGACGAACAGTCGGATTGTTATCGAGATTCGAGGTTGAGTCACTTGGCGAGGCCTGGTAACCGGCCTCCACTGGTCTGGGTTGACAATGTGTGGAACAGGTGTATTATGAGGTGGGCGAGAGACCTCGGGAGGGGGTGGGCGTTTTTGTACCCCTACCACGGTTACCCCGCGCGGAACCGGATAATCTGGAAACAAGGCACAATATCATCACTATTCGTCTTTCACATAAACGCACCGCCTTAATGCGTGCTGTTTATTGCGGCAAAATGAAGCAGCTCTAAAACTTAACAGATTGAATACATGGTACTGTCAAATATGAGACCAATATGCTTAAAATAATTTAACATGTGCATTGCAGCTGTCAAATATATGCTATTTACTTGGAACAAGTAAGTAACAACACATGTCTCTAGATTTACCTAAAACAAAACTCACTGTTCAAGGCCGTGAAATATAAACAATCATAGTCAAATAATTTCTGCTAAAAAAATTTACCTTAGATAAAGGTTAATGTCGAAGGCTTTAAAAGAATGAACATATTCTAAAATGTCTATTGTTCTTGGCTTCACAAAAGCAGACGTCTCGATCCCTGGGCTCCCAGCAGAAAATACAATCTCGTCTCTACAAACAGTGCTGGCTGCCGCGCCGACAGGCAGACTCGGGCCGGCGGCACATCAGTGCAGCCAGCGACGGCGCCCCACACCAACCACCAAAACAGACCCTCACAATACTCCGAAACGCGCCCGCGCCGGGCAACACCACCGCTACCAGACCGCGCCCCGCCGCCGCCCGGCGCCGGGCACAGGCACAGGCGACACCGGGCACAGGCTTCCGACCGTCACCGGGCACAGGCTCCCCGACCGTCACCGGGCACAGGCACCCCGACCGTCACCGGGCACAGGCACCCCGACCGGCGGCCGTTATCACACAGTACAACCGCCGGGTCACACCGTACAACTGCCGGGTCACTGCGGGCCCCACACAGTACAACTGCCGGGTCACACACAGTACAACCGCCGGGTCGCACAGCACAACTGCCGGGTCACACAGTATACTGCCGGGTCACACACAGTACAACTGCCGGGTCACTGCGGGCCCCACACAGTACAACTGCCGGGCCACACAGCATACTGCCGAGTCACTGCGGGCCCGACTGCAGAGCGGGGCGCGGGAGTCAGCCGGACGCTGCGGTGACACCGCCGGCGGCCCCAGGGCCGACCTCACCGCGCCCACCTTTTGTACCTCCGAGTGCGGCCGGCGGGCGCGCGCCGCCGGGAGCCAGCCGAGGCACTCAGTCCGGTTCGCAGAAACAAACACCGGGCGGCCCCCCGGCGTCCCACCACTCCACAGTCCACCGGGGCGCGCCGCCCAGCCCGCCCCGAACGGCGGCGCTCCCCTTCCCCGGCCACCGCCGCAGGAGAGGGGTGCAGCGGTGCAGTCCCGGCGGTCACACACACTGCTGGCGGACACCCACCGGGCCACCGGGCCTGGGGCAGAGTATCCTCCGACCCCCGCCCCAGCGGGTCCAGCGCAGTTAGGGCAGACGACGCGCCGCCGCCGCCGTTGTGCTTTGGTCGGGCCACGTGACAGCCCCGGCTGTAGCCTCTTCACGGCCGCCGCGTAGCCTCTGCGCGGACTCCACTAGCAGTCAGCTGCCTCGACGGGCGTCTGGGCCACCCTGAAACAGAGCAGCGGGGCGGCGTGTGACGCACCGACGCTACGGTATACTACGGACAGAAGCGAGCAGCCAGGGTGGGGGGAGGGAGGGGAGGGGAGGGGAGGGGAGGGGAGGGGGAGGGGGAGGGGGAGGGGGAGGGGGAGGGGGAGGGGGAGAGGGAGAGAGAGAGAGAGAGAGAGAGAGAGAGAGAGAGAGAGAGAGAGAGAGAGAGAGAGAGAGAGAGAGAGAGAGAGAGAGAGAGAGAGAGAGAGAGAGAGAGACGACAAACAAAAGCAGCCCGACAAATAAATAATAGTCCGCCGGTCGAGGAGACCATCCCTCCATTTGCCGCACCCAGCCCGACAGCCGGAGCGCACAGTGGCGCCATTGGTTCAGCAGAGGTGCCGCGTCCCTCCGAGCTCCCAACCCGGCGGCGGCGATAACCTAATATCGGCGATGTGCCAGTTATGACTGGCGAACCGAGTTCACAAGGCCACCATCAAAGACGGACCAGATTGGAAAAGTCGCCGATAAGTTACGGCCGGAGCGGCGGGCGGGAAAAACAGCGGCGCGCCGGGGGGCCGGGCGCCGGGACACAGCCACCGCCGCCGGCCGCGACCGGTCACAGCTCACAGGTCAATAACGGGTGAATAACGGGCCCACACAGCCAGGTCGCTAAACTGACGGGACGATAAACAACAATGGAAAATCAAGTGGCCGGACCAAAGTTAGCCGGATTCAGGCAAAATGGCTGGGGAGCTTCAGGCAAATAAAGGATCAGGAAGGGTTAAGACTAAAATGGCCTGGCAAAATCCAGTAAACAGAACGTCTGGACGGATTCAGACGGGAGCTGGCAGCCGTTTCGCTGCTGATTCCTGTCGCCGACAGGCTCCAACTCTGGTACCGACCGCGCCCACTGAGAGTGATCCTATATTGAGTGCGGCTTCAGCCTCCCTGGTGGAGCAGCGCATAATCGATATAGGGGC